CAACTTTTGGGGAGTTGGTTCTTTCCTTTCACCGTGTAGGCTCCTGGGGACTGAGTCTGGTGTTCCCTTGCCTGAGAACCACGGTTTTTAATGTCGTTGAGTTATGGAAGGGACATTGCTCATTTCCCTGTATCTGTATTATTTCAGTCATGTCCTTAATTGTTTTTTAAAAAGTTCTTCATTCTATGAGCCAGGCAGTGGTGGCACACGCCTTTAATCCCAGCACTCGGGAGGCAGAGGTAGGCGGATCTCTGGGAGTTCGAGGCCAGCCTGGTCTACAAGAGCTAGTTCCAGGACAGGCTCCAAAACCACAGAGAAACCCTGTCTCGAAAAACCAAAAAAAAAAAAAAAAGAAAGAAATAAAAAAAAAATTCTGTTAAAAAGTTCTTCATTCTAAAGTACGTGAATGCGGTGATGTCTTTTTTGGAGGTGGATTTATCTGTGGCCCAGGTAGGCCTGGGAGGCAAAGGCAGGTGGATCCCTGTGAGTTCGAGGTCAGCCCTTGGTCAACAGAGGGAGTTCCGGGACAGCCAAGGCTACGCAGAGAAACCCTGTCTTCGCCATCAAAAGAGAAATATTTTTTATTTTATGTGTATGGATATTTTTTCTTCATGTTTATGTGTGTATTGTGCGGACATAGTGCCCATGGAGGTCAGAAGAAGGCATTAGATCCCTTGTGAGTGCTGGGTACTGAACTTGGGTTCTCTGCCAAAGCCCTCAGTGCTCTTAGCCACCCAGTAGACACCTCTCCAGATAGTGTCCCCAACCTACCCCAGGCGTGTGTGTGTGTGTGTGTGTGTGTCTGTGTGTGTGTCTGTGTGTGTGTGGTGGAGGTGGAGGTTGGGTCTGTAGTCTACTCAGTCTTGGGGGGCCTCAGTTTCCTCCTTTGTGGAAAGATTTATCTCTAGGCCTGTCTGTGCAGCCACAGGGCTTGGGAAGGAAGTTGCATGTACATTGACTTGAAAGTAAAAACACTCACTATGTCCCTGGACATAATAAAACCATCTTACAAAGAAACAAAGAAACCTTGTACCCAGCAGAGCACACCCCAGTGGAAGCCCAGGGTTCTCAGCCCCTGGAATGAAGTCACCCGAAAGTTAAATTCCATGTAGTTTGCTTCCACGGCAGATTTTTTTTTAACTTTCTGCTCAGCCTACCCCCAACCCCGAAACAAAACAAAACACTCTAAAACTTACTGGGTTTTCTTCCACGGCCTCTGGCAGCCTTTGGCTCCAAAGAGGAAAGACTCCTCGCCCCCTGCGCCTCGCTGTCCCCTCCTCTTTCTGTTTCCTGCTAACTCTGCATGCGCCCAGAGCCTGATCCTGTGCCGAGGCTCCAGTGAGCATGCTCGGCCCCCACCTCCCCAAGCAGAGGAAGCTGGTTTACATACGAGTCATACCAAGCATAGCCAGCATGTCAGCGCAGTCAGCTTGCAGCGGGCTGTGAGGGAGAGTGCCTTTGTCCTAAGAAATGTGCTTTGTGTTTTTTTTTTACTGCTTTCTTTTTAAACCCTCAAGACAAGCTTTGGAAGACTGCTGAAGTGATTTTTTTTAAAGCCGAGTAGAGGACGAAATACAGACACTGCCTTCCAGTAAGCCCTGGACAGGTTTTGTTTGATTCTGATTTTTTTTGTGTGTGTGTGTGTGTGATCTTTTTTTAAAAACAAAAACTTTTATATACTTTGCTTGACTCTTGTGAGGCTGGGCCTCTATTTTACTAAAGTTTTAGGAGAGCCTGGAGCTACTCAGCTAAGACTGAATTTTGAAACTTTCTCTTCGGGAGTGAAAGCAAAGAACTGCCTTTCTTTGCTAGCCGGACAGATAAATGCTGTTTATGAAGATGGACCTGTTGAACTACCAGTACTTGGACAAGATGAACAACAACATCGGGGTTCTGTGCTACGAAGGTAGATGTTGTAGGATGGACTTCTTGTTTGTATCTGTAGCGGCCACTCCTCCTCGGTGGGGGGATTCTGATCCGCTGGCTTCGGAACATTTTCTTGTCTTTCTTGGGATGGTGGAGTGCCTAGACAAAGTGGTACACCATTTCAGGGCAGTTTCCTGGTGTCTGGCAGGAGGGTGGCAGCAGGGAGGACTGGAGGGGACATGTTGTAAGTTTGCTTCCAACTTACTGACAAGATCTGACAAGATCGTTACACTTTAAATTCTTTTCTCTTTTGATTTTGTTGCCATTTTACGGAGGGGAGGAACTTATAAGAACAAGGGGAAGGTAAGCATGTGGGTGTTAGAGAAGAGGGAGGGACTCAGACGTATTTTTAGATGTAGTACCGTGTACAGTGTTCTGTGTGTACTCTTGTTCTGGATTTTGTGTGGTGGAGAAACAACAACAAAAAGCCACAATGAGTTTTTGTTTTCCGGAGCCATTGTCTCAGACATTTAGTTAGTTTTTTTTTCTGTGGATTTTGTGGGGCTGGCAAGGCCTGGTGTCAGGGAGCCCAGGCCGGCTCTTTGTCTGCCGCCCCATTTCCTGTGACAGTGAGACGGGCTGCCTCCAGCCCCGGTCCCGGGTGATTACACAACCCAGCTGCCAGAAGGCTAAAGAAAGTGGAAAATGCTCCCATCCCGAGGTTCTTCTGGTTCATCACCTCCCCTTCCCCTGGACACTCCCCGGAGTAGAGCAAAAGAAAACCCCAATTCCATCTTTTGGAATTTTTACCTACGTGCCATTTGAGTCCAGGGTAATGGCCTGGTTGAGCCTGGGGTTTGGTAGGGCAGGGAATGAGCTGGGACTGCCAGGGAGTCTTTCCTGGTAAAAGCGTGCTGGAGTCCAGGCACATCTTCCTGCTGGGGGCACTGGACTCTGGGTTTTCTCCTAGACTAGACTAAGCGGGTTGTTTGCTTTTTCCTGGGCAGAAGTTAAAGTGGGGAGCTGTGCTGTGTTTTTGTGTAGAAGTTTCAGATCTGTTTCTTAAAGCGGTTGAAAACATACCCTTTCAAGCTTGTTTTAAAATTAACTATGGATAATAATCTCAGATTTAAAGGGTTTTTTTTTTTTTTTTTGGTTGTTGTTGCTGTTTTGTTTTTTAAATAAGATACCACTTTACTTTGACAAGTTCCCTTTACATGTACGGAATATGTTGGCCTCTAAACTCCTTCATCTCAAAGGCCCGATTCTCAGAAGCAGTTTCTGGTGGGATTCATGTACTGTCTTTTTTTTTTAAATTAAAAAAAAAAAAAAACCAAAACCTGTACCCCAACAAAAGATGAAAACTTTTAATGTGGTCTCTTTATCAACAAGTAATCTGATAGTTAAAAATCAAGCGGGGAGCGAGGAACACTGAAGCTGCCAGGACGCTGGGACCAGGTTTGTTCCTGTGTCTGGGGAGGAAGTTCAGCAGCTCCTCCAGGTGGGCGTGCGGTTCCGTGGAAAGCACATAAGCCAGCAGTTAGCTGTGTTGTTTCCTTCGCTGTTTGGAAGAACAGACTTTGATTTTGAGAGCCTAGTGGATGTGTGGGATCATAGGCTATCGTCTGTTTAGTTTAAACATCTGCTCCCGTTTTCCTTATTATGAAAGGTAATATTATTCTAACACCAAAATAAATACACAGGAAATGAAGAAAAGCACAGCAAAACCAGAGTGGTGTTTGGAGCCAGTTGTTTACGTCCTTTGGTTTCCCCACTGTAAACACCACACACATCTGGTCTCCACTGCCAGGGCCGTGTGGAGGGATGGGTATAAATTAGACGTGGGATTCTCTCCTGTAGAAAAGCAGAACAGAACTGGGCCTGGTGGCACTCACCTTTAATCCCAGCATGAGAAGGCAGAGGCAGGTGGATCTCCGTGAGTCTGAGGCCGGTCTGCTGTACTTAGTTCCAGGGCAGCTAGGGCTACATAGTGAGACCCTGTCTGAAACAAACAAACAGAAAATTGGTACAGTTTAAAGGAAGTGTGCTGAGATAGTTTGCATTGAACAGACCGGCCCTCCAGAGTGCCAGGGCCGCTATGAGGATCATGAGTGGATGGGGTGGGGTAGGTAGTATTTGATCTGTTCTTGCCTTTAACCAGGGGCAGGCTCAGTGTTTGCTGGCTTTAGAAGTGAAGGTGTAGGTGGGGGAGCTTTGCTTGCCCAGGTTGCTTCTACCACAGCCTGGGTTGTGTCGGGTGAACTGTGTCCTCACCCTCTTCCTCCTCTCAGCAGCTTCCACACAGGGACCCTTGGGTCTTACTTTTGAATCCACTCCAGTTTGTCTTCCTTCCTTGGGGTCTTGGGCTGGAACCCACATTATCTTCTGCTAAGTCCACCTTCTCCCACCGAGCCTCACTATAGCCCAAACCTGTGTGGTAACTGCATCCTTGTACCACCCTCATGGTCACCTCCAAGGAGGACTAAGAGGCCTGTGCAGGTTCTGGAGAGCAGAGCGGTTGAAACAGAACATCTGTCTAACCTGTGAGAACCAGTTTCTGCACTAATGACTTAGTAAAATAGCTTGTGTTAGTGACCAAGCCCAGAAGCTTCATGGCCTCTTATCACCATGCCCAACAGCTAACCACTCCATCCTGCTATTCTTCTGGCTGGGCCCATTGTATCTAAAGAAGGTCAGTTTTGCCTCTGTCTCCATAATAAAGGCGTAGCCAGCACTGTTACTGTTCTCCTTTTGAATTCCTGTTCATCCCACTGGATGGTCACAAGCCTTACGAAGACAGAGTACTCAGGGCCCTCTGAGGCTCCAGGTCATGCTTTATGTAAAAGCCCAACTTACAACAGAAGTCTGCAGGCTTTCCCTGGCGGCTCTGCGGCCACTGCTGTGCAATGCAGCCTTTAATTATGGACTGTTGTTTTCTCTAATTAACTCATCACCACAGAGCCAACCAGGCTCTTAGACACCATCAATACCTTCGTCTTGTTCTAGGCCCAGAGTTTCTCTTTGTTCGGGCGGATTTGGGGGTTTGTTGCAGGACTGAGGTGAGGTTGGAGCCCATCTCAGTGGGCCCCTGGGCCTCTTCTCTAACGAAGGTTACTGTCCCCTCTCTGTTTACATCCTCAGGACTGGGCCTGCTGGGGTGGGGGAGGGGTGGCTCATACCCCAGCTCGCGGGCTTTGTCCTGATGCTAGCTGCAGGTGACTAGCCTTCTAGAACTTTCTCTCCGGCCGCTATAGAATGTGGAATGGGATTGGAGGAGGAGGAGGTGGTGGCGGCCCTGGCTAGAGGTGAGCTCCCCAGAGGGAGCCTTCCATGAAGCAGTGGGGAGTGGGAGTGTTCAGGATGGCTGGCAGCCACGCTTACATAATCACTCAGTTCTGAAAAGTTAGGTCCTAATAAATGCTCATGGCTGCCCGTGTCTGTAAAGTGCTGTTAGTGATTCTTCAATTATGGGTTGACAGTCATTAGTGTGTAATTTGGTAGAGGAATTCTCGCCTTTTAATTTAATAGTGCGATTTGTCTCGGGAGAAAGTGAGGATGAGTTGCGAAGCGCAATGGTCTCGGAGCTTCAGAGAGGGGCATGTAGAGGTCCTCGGGGCCTGGAACTGTCGTTTTAGAACGTAATTCCCACTTGTTTCCCTGCAGGCTGCATTCACATCCGTTTTTCTGAATGGGAAGGGAACATACACGCTTGGGCTGCCCAGCAGAGTGAGGCCCTGCAAGTCTGGGCATGGGGCTCTTTTGTTTCTTGCCAGTCTACTGGCAACAGGTTGATGGAGGCCTAGTTTCATTGTTCTTTGTCTGAAGAGCTCAGAGGCTTTGGGAGGCTTCAGAGCCTCCAGTGCTGTTGGGTGAAAAGGCCGTCAGAACGAGGCCACAAGTCGCAGACTTGGTTCCTAGCCCTACATACAGATCAAGTGACTTGGTCTTGATTTGGATGTAATCTGTGGTGCTGCCTCTGTAGCCATTTTATGGTGGAAGTCTTTCAGTTTTAGCATCTTACAGCACTCTGTCCCCTCTCTCTCTCTCTTTCTCTCTCTCTCTCTCTCTCTCTCTCTCTCTCTCTCTCTCTCTCTCTCTCTCTCTCCCCCCCCCCCCCCCCCCCCCCAGGTGAGTGCTTGTGTTTTTGCTAATTACAGCTTGTGCCCGGAAGGTATGATTAGAGCCTCCTTCCTTCCAGCTCCACGCCCATAATTCTCAATCCCCTTCTGGAAGGTTTGTTTGATTTGGGCTGTTATCTCTGGGAGCCAGCACTTGGCTTGTTAGAAGTCAGCCTTCTTTTGCCTTATGTTCCTAAGGTGTCTGGGTTCATTGTTGTGAAGCAAGCTTTTAAAACCATGTCATATAGATATAAAGAAATCTCTAGGCCAGGGAGATTGCTCAGTGGGTAAAGGTAACTAAGCCAAGCTCCTTGATGACCTGATTTCTGTCTCTGGGACCCACATGGTGGAAGGAGAGAACTGACTCCCAAGCTTGTCCTTTGGCCCCCTACCCCTTCCCAAATAAATGTTGAGAGAGAGAGAGAGAGAGAGAGAGAGAGAGAGATGCAGGCCGGCCGGCCCTGTGGTGTGTTCAGTTTACTTCTGCTTCACTGCCAGGATGTTGAAGAAAACTGGGTTTTGTCATGAAGGAATCAGATCCAGATTTAGCCTTTGCTGGTGTACAGATCTATAAAAAAAAGTCTTCTCAGGGGATGCTCCTGGCTGTATCTGCTTCATCTCTATGTATTTAATGTTTATTTAATGACAGTTTATATTTAATGCTATTTATATATTTAGCTCATGGTAATTATTTTTTAGCCTCGCTCAGCAGTGTGAAGCAGGCCCTCCTCCCCTTTTTACTTGAAAACCAAAGTCCTGAGTTGGTTGTACTCCTACAAAAGCAAACACATCCCCCACCCCCATCACAGGGGCTTCGTTTTTTAAATGACTTCTCTCCTGTTTGCACTCTCTTGCCCACATCTCACTTCCCAAGTTAGTGTTTCCTGTTCTCCAAGATTATTTATTTACTTACTTATTTAAA